GTTAACCAGGACGTACATTAAAGAGATTGTGCGACTACATGGTGTACCTATATCCATTATCTATGACCGAGATAGTAGATTCACCTCGCAGTTCTGGCAGTCCCTACAGAAGTCTCTAGGAACTAGGCTTGACATGAGTACGGCCTACCAACCACAAACCGACGGGCAAAGTGAGAGAACCATCCGGACATTGGAAGACATGCTGAGAGCCTGTGTGATAGGTTTTGGTAAGGCATGGGATACCCATCTGCCGCTTATCGAATTCTCTTATAATAACAGCTATCACACTAGCATTGGAGTCGCTCCATTCGAAGCTCTCTACGATCGCAAGTGTAGATCACCTCTGTGTTGGCCCGAAGTCGGGGATACTCAGCTAGCCAGAGGGAAAATCCTTGATAGCACCCTTACTGGGCCTGAAATCATAAGGGAAACCACAGAAAAGATCATTCAAATTCCGGAAAGACTGAAGGCGTCTCGTGATCGACAAAAGAGTTACGCGGATAAGCGACGCAAACCTTTAGAATTCCAGGTCGGAGACCGAGTACTACTAAAAGTTTCCCCCTGGAAAGGGATGATACATTTCGGTAAACGTGGAAAACTAAACCCGAGGTACATTGGGCCGTTCGAAATCCTTGCCAGGATTGGTCCTGTGGCGTACAAACTCCGACTACCACTGGAACTTAGCAACGTACACCCTACCTTCCACGTATCCAAGTTAAAGAATTGTCTTTCTGACGAGACACTCGTAACACCGCTCGACGAAATCGAAGTTAATGAAAATCTCCACTTTGTGGAGGAACCCGTCGAGATCATGGATCGAGGAATCAAGAGAACGAAACATAGTCGCATTCCCATAGTGAAGGTTCGTTGGAACGCGAAACGGGGGCTTGAGTTTACCTGGGAGTGTGAGGATCAAATGAAGCAAAAGTATCCGCATCTTTTCCCAAACCCTTGAAGTCCCAACCGAGTTTAAATTTCGTGACGAAATTCCCTCTAACGGGGGGATGATGTAACAATCGTCAATCTTGAGTCAAGTCAAGTCATCAAGTCAAACCGGTCAAGTCGATTAAACCTTGTGTACTAAGGTTTGTGTTATGTACATACTGTATAACTTGCTATATTAATGGGAAAACATCACTTGGGAAAAGTCTTGTGTTAAAAATTCCTGAGCCTTAGTGCTAATCAATGAACTAAACTGATAAAAACCATGTTACATACTCATCGGGAGTGTGTAGGATCCTTAATCATGACTTAACGGGACTCAAGAACCTTGCATTGCGGGGCCAAACACTCACAATTGTCACACATGGAACCTCTCTCAATCGTTTTCACTCTATCTCTCTCTATGACAAAACTCTCCCAAATCTCTCCAAGTATGTGAAATCTCTCTCAAATATCTCTCTGTATGAGAAATCTCTCCAAGAATGTCAAATCTCTCCCAAATCTCTCCAAGTATGTGAAACCTCTCTCAAATATCTCTTTGTATGAGAAATCTCTCCAAGAATGTCAAATCTCTCCCAAATCTCTCCAAGTATGAGAAATCTCTCCCAAATCTCTCTCAAAAAGTTCCCGTAACTTTTTAGAATCATTCGGGTCATTCCGACCCTTAACCGGGTCAAAAACTGCTTAAAACGGGGTAAAAACGAGAAAAATGGACCTTAGGAACCGAAACCCTTCTCAAGGAGCCGAAGCTCCTTAAGGCCGAGACCTAGGAACCGAACCGAGCCTCTGTTGGCTGAACCCGGAGGACCGAACCCCTGTAGCTAAGATTGAGTCTCGGTCTCTGTCGCCTCCTCTCTTTCGCTTCTCGCTCTCTGTCGCTTCTCTGCTTCTGTTCGCCTCCCGCCTCTCTGCTCTCTCTTCCTCTCTCGGTCTCTGTTCTCTGTTCTCTCCTCTCTGTCTCTTCTCTTCTCTTGGTCTCTCTTCTCCCCTCTCGGTTCCTGCTCTCCCTCTTCTCCCCTCTCGGTTCCTGCTCTCTCTCTTCTCCCCTCTCGGTTTCTACCCTCTCTCCTCTCGGTTTCAGCATCAGAAGGCCGAACCTCGGCCAGAATTCGGAATATTGTCACTTTTAGCCCCTTTTTGATATTTTTAACATTTTAAGCCCGTTTTTCGTGATTTTAAAGCGGGATTTTCTCCAGAAATTATATCTTAACATAATAAACCCTAAATATTCATAATTTAAACATATTTTGATGAAAATCATTATCTAAATAATAAAGATCTAATGGGGGATTTATTTAAGGTGGAGTGTTGACCTTGCCTTAACTTATGTCACAAGCAACCACCCCACACCCACTCTATGACCAGCCATACCTCCCCACCTTACCTAGGTCACTTCAATGTCCCTTACACTCAATTTACACTCATTCCCACGTTTTTAGAGCTGGAACAAACTTCCTCTCTCCTCATTTCTATCATTTGCTCTCATTTCACTAAGTATCAAACACCACTTTTCTCTCAAACTTTTTCTACACCAATTTCGAGATTCAAGGCTGATTTTCAAGTGTTCTTCGCCTCTTAGTAATTATAATTCTTCCTACTTATGATTATTTCACTTCATTCTACTCAAATCATTGATTGCTTACACAAACTCCATAACTATGATGTTAGAATCTCGAAAATCTTCAAGGCATCTCCAAGTGTTCTTGAGTTAAACACTTCCATTCTTCAACAATAATCTACTGAAATCACTTAAGGTGAGTTCATACCCCTACATTTTCATGTTTTCTCAAGTTTTTAAGGGGGGGATACAAGTTAAAACACCAAGAACATAACTAAATTTTTCTAACAGCCTTCATCAGAAAAGTTCAACTCCATTCACGGACAGTTTTGGGCATCTTAAACATTTTTGTTTTCAAAACTGTACAAGGTGCAAATAGTTCAAGTTCTTAGAGTTAAAATGACTACTTGCACATCTCCATACGATTTTTGTACAATTTATGGTGATTTTTACAAAACTGCCTATCATTTCAAACAACAATCCGGACCAGTCTGTGATTATGGACTTTTTCACCCAAGTTGGAGGTCATTAAAAATCGTCATAAAAATTATGAGTAAACTAGACACATTTTGTGAACTCTCAGAGTTAACGGATCTAGTGTTTGACTTCGTATGATTTTTCTATGATTTTTCCAAAACAGTGCCAAATGGTTAAAGTTAGCCAACGGCATGTAAATATCATAACACTTTGTATTATGTTGAGCAAAGTGTATAATCATAAGTTCTAATTATTGAATGTGTTTCTTTGTTAGTTTATAATCATGAACTAAAACTAATTCATTCATAATAAATATTATTCATTCATTTTAGAACACGTATATTAAACTATAAAAAGTATAGTTTAATAAATTCATAACACTAATACATTTCCGTAAAAGAGTTCTTACATATTACAAACGTTTTAGATAAACTATAATAGGTATAGTTTATGATATATTGTATAACACACTCGTACTAAAAGAGTACATTCATACAGAAAAGGTTTACACTCACACACATTATACGTAAACTTGTTACCCTAAATTGTGAGCATTCTCTCTTTCCGTACGTCCGAGTGCGGAACATAATTCCTAGTAGTTATAATCAGAGTCTCCTGGAGGGGGAACGTGAAACTTGTATATAGATCTATATTGGGTTTAACACCCCACACCTTGCTGCTAGCTACAGTGGGACCTGCAGGTCTACGGGTGACAAATGTCATTTCATTTTCGCGACGCCTGAGAAACGTCGTGGCAGGTTCACATAGTCATAGTATGATTATAGCGACTCACATAGGGAGATAACAATTCATAAAGTTTATGGGATTTCATAAAACCTAAGTAGGTTTTAGGTTGATTTAAATTCACTTTTTATATCAATTCAAACTCATGACATTTCTACTAAGTAAGAATGATTTCTTATACATTTTGGTCTTTGGTCATAAGTCTACATTATACGGATTTTAAGGAAAATATCGGATTTTTCTAAAACAAACGTGACATTTACATGAGAAAAGACTTCTATTAAGTTTTATAGCAAAAACTTATGAACTCAACAACCTTTGTGTTGACACTTTTCAAACAACTTGTATTCTCAGGAAATCACTAAACATGTAATCAGGTGCATTTGAGGATGGGACGTTAAGGCGTCAAACTTTTCATATTTTGTCAACATATTGTAATTGATTTTGAAACATGTAATTCATACAAGTGATGTAACTTATTCAATTATATATATGTTGGTTGTGTTTGCTTAAATTACTATTGAAATTGTGGTTATGATACTATACATGAAGTCCTCCGCCCCCGGACGTTTCCGCCATCGTTGGTTTGGGGGTGTGACAATAAACAACTTGGTCATCAAATTCAGAAGTTTGTTCTGAATGATGATACACCACTTGATCATGTCTCTGAAGCATTTCAGATCTCCTTTATCATTCAATTTTCATGATACAGCTAAGTCCATAATATGGGTTAATGTGTTAGTGGACTACAATCGTTTGTCTAATAGAAAGAACAAACATTTCATAACTTTATCTCCTTCTTTTCTTTGATAGACCACAGTCTAATCCTTTTTATTTATCTTACCCAACCTTCTCTTTTGAAAGTATGTTGTTTCTTCTTTCGGATCCACAACATGTTTCTTCTTTAACACCAAAGCAATTTTAACATCCAGCTTTGCGACTTCATTTATGTAATAGATCAACATTCTCTTCAAAAGAGAAATAATTGTTTCATACTTTGCTTCATCCTTGGATAAAATCGTAAACAATAAAATCCAATCATTGGGATTCACACAGGGCAAACCAGCAAGTGTGAAGTCCGCTTCAAGTTCCAAATCTTGTACTGAGGTTGACCATACTTGAGATAAAAATTGAAAAGCACGTTGTTAACGTCGAAATCCGAAAGAGGAGACTTGTTAATATGAGCAAAAACTTGGAATAGGAAAGCTCTCAGAGTGAGTAAGAAATCCAGCTGATAATCTGCGGTATTATCTAGCTCAAAAGATATTGACGGATCTAACTAATGAACACTCAAATCATCGATTTCTTCTCTCTGAATTCTCTCTAAGGTCCATAAAGGAAAGAGAGTTTGCCGAGTTGCAAGAATGACTTTTGAAACTTCTTCCTCAGCTTCTTTAGCTTCTAATTCTTGGCGAAGAGTCAGAAGATCATCAAGAACTTTGTCACGACTCTTTTTTGTCTGCTTTTCCCCTCCAAATAATTCTTCTTTAATTTTATCATCATCTAATAGCTTTTCCTTTCCTTTAGATCCCGAAGCTTCGTTAACATTAAGATCTATCTTCAGTTTATCCTTATGTTGTTCATCAGTAGGCTTCTTAACTCGGGGCTTGGGTTGTTGAGGTTTAGGTTGTTCTCTTTCGTTAACAGTTTCTCCCCTTTGTTTTGGAACAATACTACTTTCTAAAACACACTGTAGTTGATTGAGCATGGCAAAAAAAGGCTTGAGCTTTTTCGAGAGGTGCTAGAGAACTGAAACCATAAGCATTGAGTCACGAGTTTCAATCAAATTGTGCAATTATTGATTTATGTCAAAGACACAACTTCAGAATATTGCTTTCTAGGATTCCATGTGTTCCAGTAGCTTGGTTGCGTAACTAAGCTTGACAAAGAGAACCTTAACTTTTTAACTTTTCTAAGCCAGTGTATCCATGACTGTATTTTTAGTAGTGAGATCCTTCTTAAGTTACTCTATCTTGGAGACAATAGAAGCAACCATTTCAGCAGAATTGGTTTGTAGTTCACCACGAACATGAGAAAAGGCTTCTCTTTCAGTTTGTATACTTGAGCCAAGACTCTTAATGACCTTGTTCGCTTCTTTTGGTTTCTTATCAGCAGAGGCTCAAAAATCTGCCATTAACTATGTGACTTCAAATTGTAGTTTTTCGAATTTTTTGGTCATATCAGCAATTGCCTTCTTAGACTCTTTGATTGCCTTGGTTGAGTTTTCAAGTACTTTAGCATTTTCTTTGGTGAGTGTCTCAATCGTTGCTCAATGTGATTTGAACATAAAATCATAATTTGAAGAGGCAAGAGAGGACCCTAAAAGTGAATCTAATTTGGGATTCAGCTGTTTGGACTGCGCTTGAGTCATATGGGCTTTATCATCATTGCTTGTTGGACGCACTATGAGGGGACTAAAGACAAATTTCTAAAGGCTATCTTGATCATATCCATACATAACATACAGATCATCACCCCTTAAAGGTGAAAATTGAGAGGTTTTAAGACTAAGTGTAACAACGAAAGTACCTGCCCCCGTATCAGATACGTTGACAGTCATTGATGGTTAAGTCATGGTGGCGGTTGTTATTGTTGTAGTGGAATCTGTATAGAGTGGAGTGGTTTGGGCTACTGAAATTTGTGGTTGAGAAACACCAATAGACACATTCGAGAATGGAGAAATGATAATTGGTGTAGAAATAGCGATCCGAGAATGAACAAAAAAGAAATCATCTGTTAAAGGAATAGAAGTTGAGATTGAAGATGATACCTTCGGAGTAAATTAAGTGGGAATTGGTTCTGAGACAAAAGGTTGTGAAGTTGCAGCAGTATCTTCAATAGGAGAACGAGATCTTGGTTTGAGAGCAGCCTTCTTAACCTTCTTTTTCAGAGTATGAAATGGATCGGAAGGTCCAACTTTCCCTTTCCGCTTTCCTCCCTTTTGGGATTATTTCCCTCCTCAAGTACCTTTTGTAAATCTTCTGGAATCGGATGAATACCGTAAGCAGGCTTGTTTCAGTATGCATTGATAACCACATTGTCAGTAAGAACGTTGAGGAGCATGGCTTCCGGAATGGAACCAATAAAATCGAACTTGCTAGGATCAAATACCATAAAGTTGGAAGTGTGCAGAATAGGAATCGCAGTAAGAACATAATCACTATGAACTAGAACCCGGAGATGAACAATGGCACGTTTGACGATGATTGACTAGAATCGTGCACAGTAAATCTTATAATGTATTGTTGAAGAAAATGTACTCTGAATAAGTTGTGCACATAGGATTGAACCGTAATCAAGGTTAATCCTAGTGTATAAACCATAGATGATTGTGCAAAATAGATTGATGGCATTGTATGACCCTGTAACTCTTTCAGATAAGCTTTTGAACAATAAGGTGAACAGCCTATTCCACATAGGTAGATGATTTGTCTTCCTGAACTTTGATAGTAGGGTTATATTCTCAAGATAACCCATTTGATAGAACATCTTGATAATTTCTTATGAGGAAATCGATTAAGGATTAATGAGACTTTCTATAGTAGAAAACAGGGCTTGATCCAATGGAGAGTAATGCAGGCATTCAATCATCGGTTTGAGAGAATCAGCATACTTTGAAGAATCGATATCCAAAGTCAGATTTTGGTTTACCTTAATGTTTAGCATGACTGTGAAAGCGTTTTTTTCAGCAACAGAAGGAGTTTCATATGAAACATCCATTGAAACAGTTAGAGAACATGATGAACAGTATAAAGAGACAAGAGGATTTTTCACTTAAGAGATTTTGAAATCTTTGAATGTGGTGAAGGAAACTAATCGTCGATTTACCTTTTCTACGTCAAGAGTGGTGAGAGAAACCCGGTGATTGACGGTTCCATATCCTTAAAAAAGTGCATAGGATAACGTGAGAGTTGTACGTGTGTTAGGCGGCGTGTAACTGACATGCGTGATGTTAGGGTTTTTCAAAATACACATCCTGATTAAAATCCTATCCCTATAAAACCGTCATTTCAATTCTGCTCATTGATAATAAAGCATCAATCTCCACAACCTGTTCTTAGAATTGAAAGTAACCATTCGGATGTGTGAAACCAGACTTTTTGAAAAATCACATGGATTTTTGTGCATGAGTCTGCCAAAGATAAAGAAATAAATAAAATTATATCAAGGAATCTATGATTTTAATTATAAATCGACATAAAAATAGTTGGATCCCGGGAAAGATCTCTTCCTTCGGAGTCAAGAGAGACTCGGAAGTTTCTGTGTGGTATCTCGTTGAATTATGATCATCTGTTTGTTGAGAAACAATGAAAGCCTTCTTTTCATTAGGCTTTAAAGGGTGACTTTAGCTTCAACCAAATTATGAAACCTAACATAAGTCTGAAAGTCTGGAAGAAGTGCTTGTTTGTCCGGTGTAGCCATAATTACTAGTATGCTTTGGATATCTTTAGAGTAATAAGATAAATTTTACAAATCTAAAAAAATGGATCTTTTTAAAAGAAAATTCTTGGGTCAAGAGCTTTTCATAAAGACCACGCATAAAAAAATGAGATTTTATTCCATATAAGGTACCAACCAAAAGGTTATTATCGTTAATTTCATGGTGAAAATCTAGAACAGTTTAATTATTCACCATTAATTCAGAAAGAGATTTCAGATTTTGGGTTTCACTAAAATCGTGGTGATAATGATTTTAAGATCATAAATACAGAAGTTGTGTAACCATAAACCTCAGTGGTAATAGCTGAGAGTCTAAAGGGTTACAATTATGAAAGTGAATGTGATGGAGAAATAGTAAGATGGTTCCGAGGGTTACAATTATGAAAGTGAATGTGATGGAGAAATAGTAAGATGGTTCCGAAGAAGGTGTACCTCTACTATATGAATTTATTGGGAAGAAAAGATTGATGTTATTGATTCATTAAGGCTTCAAACGTAGAGTCTCAGAGGCTTTGGGCCACAAGCAGCATGCTTCTAGAGACACTTAACTAGTACAAAGATTTGGAATTTCATACCTGCCCCATCATTCTAAATTGAGATCATGATGAATTTGTACCTGCAGCTAAAATGCACTTTGAAAAAAAAATCTTGGGTTTTCTAAGAAATAAATCAGAAATAAAAAATAATAATAATAAAACATTTTTTTGTGATTTTAGATTGTTCTGAAAAATACTAAAACAGAAATAAAGAAAACATTTTTGTGATTTTGTATTTTTTTGAAAAAGAATAAAACAGAAATAAAGAAAATATTTTTGTGATTTTGAATTTTTTGGAAAAAGAACAAATAAATATCAAAAACAGAAAACAACATAAAAATATTAAGAAAAGAAAATGCAGAAAGTCAAGTGAACAGTGGTTTCCGAATTGTTCCGAAGGCTCGGAATCAATCGAAGAACACATAATATACAAAAGATACAAGATATTCCAAATTACCTGATGAACAGTGGATTTCAAGGTGTTTTGAGGGCTCGTAGTGGTTTGGAACATGAACAATAGATTACGAGGAATTCCGAAGGCTCAGAGCAGTTCGGAATAAGAACTTTATTTTTCTTTACTATGTAGTTTTTGGTACATAATATGCTTCTATCACTCCTAAGCCTTGTAGAATTCGATTAAATATTGGTTCAGGTAAGGCTTTTGTAAAGATATTAACCAGTTGATCAAAGGATCTCACAAAGTGAATTTGAACATTGCCATCTTCTACGTGATCCTATATGAAATGATACCTCAGTGTTATATGTTTTGTCTTGGAATGTTGCATTGGGTTATGGAATATGCGAATAGCAACTTCTAAATCATAGTATAAATGGATCATTTTCATATTAATCTCATAATCTCTAAGCTAACTTTGAATCCATATCACTTTAGAAGTACAAGAGGCAGATGCGATATACTTAGCTTCCATGGTGGATAAGGAGACGCATGTTTGCTTCTTGTATTACCAACTAACGAGTTTACCATCTAAAAACTGACATCCTTCAGTTGTACAATCGAGACCGCAACCACCAAGATCATCATCAGAGAATACTTACGCAAAGAATCCAGAGTTGGAAGGATACCATATTCCGAGAGCGGTTGTGCATTTTAGGTATCAGAAGATGTTCTTTAATCTCATCATCTCTAAGCTAATTTTGAATCCATATCACTTCAAAAGTACAAGAGGCAGATGCGATATACTCAACTTCTATGGTGGATAAGGAGACGCATGTTTGCTTCTTAGATTTCCAACTGACGAGTTTACCATCTAGAAACTGACATCCTCCAATTGTACTTTTACGATCGAAACCGCAACCAACAAGATCAGCATCAGAGAACGCTTGAACAAAGAATCCGGTGTTGGAAGGGTACCATATTCTGAGAGAGGTTGTTCATTTTAGTTATGGGAAGATGTTCTTTATAGCAGTCATATGTGGTCCACGTGGATTCGCCAGAAACCTAGCACAATAGCAAACTGGAAAACATGATATCTTGACGACTAGTTGTTAGGTACATTAAAGACATGATCATTTGTCGATAAAGAGTCATATCCGCTATTCATTTGTCCAAAGATAGTCTAAGCTTAGTTTCGAACGCCATGGGAACTTTTTCCTTTGAATCTCCCACCATTCCAAATTTCGCAAGCAATTACTTTGTGTAGGCTTCTTGGTAGATGAAAATACCCTCTGAACTCTAACTAATATTTAAACCAAGGAAAATTTTAATAGGACC